AACATCATAACATTGCGAAAAAAAGCAGTAAAAACGCTAGGATTTCGAAGTATTACGCAAGAAATGAAGGCAGCTCAATGACACAAACAAATAGTGAATGTAGCATAAGCTTGAGAACAATCTATGGCAAATGACGATTTCAGAATCGACACAATTCGATTTCTCTTTCAAAATTCAGTACCAATGTGACCTCACCGTAGCACTGTAGATATTTGTCTCATTGGTAGAACTTCACAGAGAATCAGGAATTCTGATGCCAAATTTCACAACAAAAATTCTGCTTTAACGACATGAATATTGTATTTGTTTTGTTCCAGAGGCGTGAAAGAAATTTTATCCTTCTCACAGCGCAGTGTATCCTTTTGCCTGTGTTCCTTCTCTTTGTCAAACTCGCGGAAAATACGCTGCCGACAGCAGTGCCCTGCCGGCAAGAGGCGTGGTTGCCGGCTAACCGCACTTGCGCGGTTCGCCTACCCAGGAATGGTGCAGGAAGTCTTTGTCGCTACTGCAGTACTGCAATAGTGTACTGGATGATCCTCGACTCCCCTGGTGGCCCTCACCATCCACTCCACGTGGTGGCGCTGTGGGTGCACCAGGCACCTCCTGATGGCCAATTTTTGGAAGGCTCGAAAGCTTCTTTCGAACCGGCAAGGAGTTGAATCTCGGCAGCGGGCAGGAGTGGTTTAAGGCGGACACAGCCACACTGGCAAGGCCTATAGTTGTAACAGAATAGCTTGCCGGCTACACATTTCACATTGAGGCGAACCGATGTGTAGACGTGCTCATTGCGCGTTACAAATGAAAAGAGCGCTTCTTTAAACGTTCAAAGAACCTTGCCCGAAGGCCTGAAATCCATAGCGGGCCTGTTAATTTACAGCATATAGTTTAGAATTCCGTAAGACTTTGTTGTTAAGTGAAGATGGTATGTCACCAAGACCACCTCTACAGAGGTTTTTGTGAAATGCAGAAGACCAATGAGCCCTCAAACAAAAAAACCAGAGGCTGGAACTCCTATCGCCTCTACGAGTTATCAGACCATTATCATGAACGATTTTCGCTTACTTCAGCCGTATAATGACTAGAAGTTGAGACTGTGAATTCTCCACTTAATATTTACGCTCATCACGATGTCCAGTGCAGTAACCCAGGCAAGACGATGACTAGTGGACCCGAAGTTTAGTTTGTCATCTTGTTCTCTACTTCTACTCTTTCGATGTAAGATAGTACTATATCTAGTGGCAGCCCATGGAGGTTGATCACTGATTTTAACAGACATTAATTGCTAAGGCCCAAATGCTGCATTAGCAGGTTCAAGGTCTTAACTATTATGAAAGCGCATGATTACAATTGAGTTTGATTTCCAACACTTTATTAGCTATTCTTTGTGATAAATGTTTGATGTCTGAAACATCTCTCCGACACGTGAGACCTGTCTTTGAACAGATTTCTTAGCGAGCTACACCTCGAGTTTGTTCATTGAATCAAATTTTATTAGATTTAGAGCGTAGGTAGTAGGAGGGTACTTGGTCAGTCCATTAGTTTCTCTTTGTGATGGAAATTGAAGCCTAACACCTTTCTTAGAAATGTAAGGCCAGTAAATTAAAAAAAACTAAACGAGCTACGCTCTTGGATTTCATTAAATAAATTTAGAAGGCTTTCAAATACCACCACTTCATTTGACGTCTCACAAAATTTTTCCATCATGACAATCCCAGCACTTTTTGAATTTCATTCTTTTTTCGTCTTTTTCCTGAGCGTCGTAGAATACTGGTTGAGCGAGTCTCTCTGCAATCTTGAGGATAGCTTGACTGTGGCGTTCCATCAAGGCGTTCGCTGTTGACTATTGGACATGTGTTGTGAGGGATGGGGATCGGCCTTGCGCCGAACCGCGAAGAGCATCACAACCACTAGACCACGCTCTGTCTCGCACTTTTTCAAATACTTTTAGTTTGTCAAGGTTGAAACATGTGTATCGGTCTCAATAAGTCAGCCTATATAACCGACCACATGACATGTTGGCTCAATATAATAATTACGAGATATTCGAAATTCTAGTATTTTGCTGCATTTTTCGCATTGTTACAATGTTTCATATAAACCTATTAGAGGATTGAGTGGTGAGCAGAAACACGGCCTCAGGCGGGATCCAACCCGCGTTTCATTCTATGCGGGGACGCGTGCTTTACTACTACACCACCGAGGCACATTTGTACCATCACTCATGCTTCAACATCTTTATGTTAGCTATCAGCAACCAACCTTTAACAGGTTTGGACAGGTATGCGATTTCGCTTTATAAACCCAGTTGAGTTGACAGCCGCTGTGGTAACTGATATTCGAAATTTCTAGTAGTTTTACTGCATCTAAATTCTTCACGCGCACTAGGATTATCTCTATTCACCAAACCAAAGAAAAAAATAAAATCTTCCAAAAAAAAGTAAGCCAAAGACAATCTATGCAGCAAATTTGAATGCTGCTTACCAAGTAGCGAAGTGATGTTTTAAGAAACCGATTTCCATTCAGCCTCAACATGAACCATCAATGCGTTTTCGCTTATCACATTGTTTATCCGCTTACTGTCTGTGATTCAAAAATTTCCATCCAAATCCCCATATTGAGGACAAAGGGTAGACCTTAAGTCCATGAGAAGAGACAAGAAACTGTCGCTTTTAGTCATACGAAAAATTCTGAATGAATTTCTTCTCTGCATGCTTCAGTCATACGTAAAACTAGCTGCGTGTTGAATCATACTGAACAAATGCTCAGTGTCCAGGTAGTATCTGGATAATTACTTGCTGCATGCGGAGAAAACGTGGCACATAAGAATACGCAGAAAACTTTCGGTCCGCATTCAAGAAATATCAAAACACATCTCATTAGGAGTACAAAAAGTAGAGGTTCTGTGTCATCTTGACGGCAACAGAGACATCTCTATCTCTATGATATTCAATTTTATATTCATCTCATTACGTCCTTCGTTTGCACTAGTGACAAATCATGCTATGCACTGCTGACACTTCAAAAAGCTGTCGTTCTCGAAAAAGATTAATTAAAAATAACAAAAAGATCTCAGTGGTTCCACAATTGATGGCGCTTTTTTATTAGACATTTTAAGTGTGTCTGATTCCACTGTACTGAACTGATAGGTAATGTACGCTTGATCATCATTTACCACGTTCAAACTAACAAAAGTCATACTTTTCGATAGTCATACGCTTGCCGACCGCGTCAATGAATGACGGTCTCAAGAGAGCAAGGCGAAAGGAATCTTTCAAGACTCCATATGACCTGCCTGTGAGGCGGATTGAACCTAGTGTGTGCAAGCGCATACGCATGCGCAGATATCTGATACGTAATAATTAGTTTCTATATTCTTCGCGCATACTGCGGATTATCTCTGTTCACCAAAAACCATTTTCCATCACTTCAGAGTCCTTCTTGGCTATGCAAAGCTGAATCTACTACTAGTTAGTGAATACTTAGGTGCGAAATTCTCGCTTTCACTTTGATCATTATAGGAAAATATAGGAAAACCTTTTATTAGTAGACGCAATTGATGCGGTGAGTATTAGTTACACTTGACATGTGCCGGCTTCTAGAATTAGCCCATGACGTTGCGACGACGAGCTGGAAGTGTTCGCCTCGTCCGCTGCATGCGACCCACTCTAAAACTGGAAACATTTTGATTAACAAACAGAGGCAAGAAAACGCAACCGCGCGTTGTGGTTTCCTGAATAAACGGAGAATTGCATAGTGACTACTCAGTGAAAGGGCATTCTATTAAAGATTCTAAGGCATCTATATGGCTTTCTTCCAGGAGATATCCAGATTGTAACACGTACCTGCGGCCAACTCGACGACTGCGGCGCAATCGAGTTTTTTTTCCTCTTGATTTCCTACGGGGAATTTCTGCTTCTTGATCGCCGGCTACTTGATTGGCGTCTTCGAGACCCGCTTAGGCGCCTTCTACCACGTCTTGCTGATTAACTTGATTTTAAAAAGGACTAGACTGTAATTTTACATGCATATGTAAAATCTTGAAGCGCAACTCTGGGGAGACACGGTCATGGCAGAGAAACTCGGTGGGCAACAATGAACGCTAAGCGCAGCAAGCGCAGAAAACAAGGAATCCGCATTCTTATGACCCACAGCGACACTTAGCATGCTTTAATGGAACTGGATAGAAATTAGCAAAGTAGTACAAATCCATGTCGTTCTCACTGCTGGAAATTGATCTCAAAGAATGCCCGCTTGAGAATTCTTTTCAGTCTACACATTGACAATCCTGATGAACCGGACAGCATTTTAAATTTATGGTAAAACTCACTTGATGGCGAACGATGGCTATATCGGCGTGATCGCCGGCTGCGCCATCGACGGGAGCGTCGACTCAGTGATCGGGTGCAACTTCTGCGGGTTCGGCTCCTCCGACTCCTTCTACTTCCATTTCTAGACCAAATCCCTCCACTTCCACTTCTAGACCGGTTTCCCCTGCTTGGGCATGTTAATAAATGAGCTGGTAATCATACTCTAGGCAACTTTTATAGCCTTTACATCGCACCGTAGACACCATAACATGGTGATAAAGTCTGATAAAATGTTATCTTTGCGTGCTTCATTCTACTGAAAAATACCATGTTTTTCAATGGATGTTTTATCAGCGTTAACGTGGGAACAACATCAAATTGAAGAATAAACGTGAGCTTTTTCTTTGAACACCTTTGAAATCAGTGGTAATTTCTATACTTCCTCGGTGATTAATATCAAATCATCCGCCCGAGAGATCAAACGGTGAAGTACTTAGGCAAATCACTCTATGATGCTTACTTAGAAATACTAATAATTTAGTGGATTAGGTCTCATCTGAAAAAAATTAAGGGCATACGAGGGTAATCCTTGGACTGCGTCCACTCATCACATTATAAAGCGAAATCGCATACCCGACAGAACCTGCAAAGATGCTGTAGCTAACTATGATGTTGAAATGGTGGGCCAAGTGTGCCTCTGTGGTGTAGTGGTAGGGAACGCGCCCCACGGTATGGATGGAACGCGGGTTCGATTCCCTGCTGAGGCCGTGTCTTTTGCTCACCACTCAATTGTCATAGTTCTATTACGAGAGATGATTAAATTTGAGCGTGGTCTTGAGAAAACACTCGGAACGAAAGTTATGAAATCCCTAGAGTCGAGTCGAAGTTTAGACAAATAATTTAAGAGATTCTGCAAACCTTCGAAATTTCGCATTGACAGAATCGATCACATGTTAAACAAGATTGAGAGTATCGCTCTAACTGGTATGAACTGATTGTAATCTGACTGCTAACTAAAACTTTTAAAAAAGTTTCCAAAATGTATCTATTGAGAAATTCATTTACAAATTTTGCAAAGACGGAAACGACCACATTTCAACAAATCAAAAAGCTCTTACTATATTTCGATTCGAAAATAATTCTTCAACATCTTAGTCCACAGCTTGTGGAACTCCTTAGAAGAAGACAGGAACAAAAAATGTAGTCAGAACGGTATCATATAAATCTCGACATCCACGTGCACAAAATCAAGACATAACCACAGTGAATCGTGATTCAATGAATTTCTGAAGTTCTATAGCGGTTGATTCATGCATAGACGCACCGTCGCTCCACAGCGTAGAAGTAATATATTCCTCGGATGCGAGGAAAGTGAAAGCGCTCCAGCATTAGTTATCGCGAATGGATAGTGTGAGATCAACTTTATGTCTATTTGTCAAGGAAACAGTAAATTAGTAGTAGCCCATAGGCAAACGTAATCAAAGATTATCAAGAGAAAATAGTCAGCGTCTCCAGCAATATGCTCTCCATGTTACTGTAGACATGTAATGTCTGTAATTTCTCATTCTAATCTCAGAGCTATTTAGATTGCTGACTGCGAGCTTTACATTCACATAGTTTGATTCATTGTGCGCACTCACACACTAGAATTAAGAATGCTACAATGTACATTATTTTACTGAGGAAATGTAAGGTTAGTCATTCTACACTGCAATTACTAACCTTTCCAAGCATAAAATTTCTTGGAAGGAGTTTTTACGAGTGGTATGGTTATAGATGAATTCTACAGGAAGTTATTGCCACGTTTCTATCGAAAAGTACAAGTAAGGTGGCGTGGGGTCCAACGAGTACACAGATGAGGTGAAGCCTTGCAGCTCGAGTGATCAACTCATACAGCGCTGGCCATACATGAATAAGCATTGTCGCAAATTATCTTATTGACCAGTTTTTGCTGAATGCGTAAGCTTATTCTACACTATCGATCTAGTGCCTGATTCTATGTGTATTAGTTCTACCATCCTTCTAAAGTTTTGATGAATTAGGCAACTTATAGGCCACGATAAACCATGATCCTTTCGGTACAAATTTGATTCAGGAACTATTCATGATAGGTATATCGGTTCAACTGCCGCCCTGGAATTTATCACTTAGCTTAAAAGCCTCCTTTTGGATCGTGTAACGAATCCAACAAAAAATTGTAAACGTTTAGTGTTTGTAGCATGAAAGAAGCCTAGAACAGATTTGCAACAATGACTATGCTGCTTTTCCTTTGAAAGAGCACTATCCGTGCGCCAGGTTGTTGTTTTTCCAACTATATAGAACCAATCCAGAGCCATTCCTTGAGTGCACCCAACTCCTGCGCAAACTTCGAAATATCTTGCATGTGAATTAATTCCAAAGAAAGTTTCCAAGTGATCGCTATCATTTACAATAGTTTGTTACCAAATCTCCCATTTTAACAGTCACCCATCACCACCGTGAAAATGTTAAATTCATCGTTGCACCACATATTCGTCAACAACTCCGTCGTCCAAATCAACGTCCCGAAGGTGACATAGGGTCGCGTAACGAGTCATACTCAAAAATTATAAGAGAAATTTCATCAAATTTTTTCGCTGTTCTTCATATCATAAAAACTAAAACCCTCGAGAGCGCATATCGCTCAGTGGTTAGAGACGCTCAGCGTCGCACACATCGATTTCATCTCTCCAGGGTCGGTAAATTGGTACCAGACTGGTCTCATACTTTTCTGGGAGGCTGAGCAATACTGAACTCGATTCAGCGGGAGGCCACCACGGGTCATCGTAAGGGCCAGGTATGCATTCAATTACCTCAAACGAAGTTGAGAATTGAAGACGAATGCATGGCGCATCCCTCAGGTATTGATCAACGCCGAGAGCTCTATGGCTTTGAACGTCTCGAGCCTACGGTGGGTGATGAGAGCCGGATGCGTTACAGTGACAATATAATAGTTTTTCTAATGAAATTTGATTTTTTAACAGCACTGAGTTAAGTTCAGGTCGCCGGTCAATGGCAAGATATGATGAAAGAGGCTTCAATAAGGCTGTTTTTGGTTGAAGCATGACAAAACAGATACAAAGGAACGATTTGTTCACCAAAAATGATTCTGCACATTGCATTACGATACCACTTCATAGCTGATTCGGAAAACTCCTTATTATTAGTGAGCCATAGAAGCTGAGAGTGTTTGTGGTGTTGTAGAATGGGGCTTTATTCTATTGTATATGAGGAATAACTTTTCGTATTGTCCTTTTATAATCTGATATGAACATAACTGTACCTTGTATTTTGTTCAAAAAACTATTCAAAGAGATGAATGCATACTCTATCAAGGCTTGTTCTTCTAGGAATCTTTCATTCTAAAAATTTGTTCTCGAAAATACATTTACACAACGTGGTCAAAGGGATAACGAAGAAAGAGTTCAAAATGTGTTGTTTACCCCACTATGTAGCTGTTGTATCAAAAGGAAATATTTCCAGATTTTCGTGTTCTTTTCACTAATAAAATTAGCAATCTATTCCTTACCACAAGGACAAAGTTTGCTTAAAAATAAAATTTCACTGTGTCATACCGAAAAATCCGCTATCAAGTTCAAACAACACACGCCGAAAACAAAATATTATCGTTTTTTTTTTTCGTTAATGTAACGTAGTATGAATGTTCTTTCACAAACACAGCTTGGTATCAAAACTGATACTTTTCAAGCCTACAAAAGCTTAGATTAGAAAAGGACAAATGCTATGATATAGCTGAAATTTTCGTTTTTGGGAGGGTAAGATTTCTCGTCAAAATCCAAGATTTTTCGACGCTTATGCGTTTTTTTTAGATTAGAAAAACCTTCATAAGAGTCTCTGTTGTGGTATTTCATCATTTGATAATGACTATGTTTTCTCAAGTGGGTTCATAAAGCGAAATGGCATACCCGACCAAACCTGTTGAAGGTTGGTGTCTGGCAGCAAATATAGAGATGTTGAAGAATGAGTGGGTGGCACAGCAAATGTGCCACGGTGGTGTAGTGGTAGCACGCGTCCCCGGTATGGATGAGACCTATCTTTGCTCACCAATCAATTCCCCTAGGTATATCTGTTTTCTCAGAATCTCGGTTTGCGGAAGAAAATCGCATAATTCTCTTACAGAGGCTCAGACGCAAAATTACCGCCGCTCGTATTAGCGCCACCACGCAATCTGTGCTCTCTGCGAAGGACACCGGAGACTGAACGGACTGAATTCACCGTAATCAGCACAAAAACAAAGTCCCGAATTTATAAAAAAATATAAAATCCAAAACACAAAATACCTTTCTGCGAATAGTTTTGATTGGCTATTACCTTTTTTACACACTTTACTCCATGTGCTCGTTTTCATACACTGCTTCAATATTTTCTCTATTTTTCACCCTAAACTATGTTCGTCTTAGACATTCAATATTCTTGTGAAAAGACGATACTTTAATAACCTTTTCGTACGAATTCGGTTTACTATGAGTCGTAAACACTTGCAAAACCACTCAAATTGCATCACACTTGTAATCGGCCTAGTAAATATCGTCAACCACAAAGGATACTGTATAACGATATATCAGTAGTATTATGAGAAAGATGAGAGTTCTGAGGATGCAGAAAATCGACGAAAGAAGCTTATGCCAATTGATTCAATATTACTCATAGGCGTCTTTTTGGTGTTGACTCATGTACAATTGATTTGAAATTTCAAGAACTGAGTGGATTGACGGCACGATTTTGAGATTGTTCATATCCAGTTGAAAATTCGAAAAACTGACAAATGTGCCCCGAGCCTTGAACGAAAAGTAGCAACACTTCTGCCAGATCTATTCTAGGCTTCAACTATGTGTGTTCACTTGATGCTCGCATTGTTATGTATGACTGAGAGTGGCTTCTCTACGACAGCCGACGATATTCGAAGCAGTGGTTGGATTGCGACGAATATAACATCTGTAGTGGATAACTCATAGATACTTCCTAGACTTGAATTCTCATCAAAGAACGATTTTTATTTTTTCGTAATTTAAAATTAATCGTTTGCTTGAAAGTTGAAAAACTGAGCTTCTAACTTTGAGTTATCCCTGAGAGATTGAGTTCGACTACATCAAGTATCGTCGAGGTGAATGAATGCATATCCGACTGAGATAATAACTCATGATGGCTCCAACAAAGTTCTAAGTCAGTGATTTTGTTCTACCAAGAGAGTTTGGCTCTGATTTGTTGAACTTCCCGAAATAAAAGAGTTCTAAGTCTTGCCGGGGTTGAAACAGCCGGAAATCCATTGTGTTTTGAAGGGTAACTCCAAACATTGTATTACCTGCACTCTAATTCATTGTCTATAATTTCTTGAAATTGAACGTTGCAGCGAAAAAAAGCACTTTACGAATATGCTTAATCACGGTGTTATAGACAAGTTACGCACACAATACACAAAGAATTATAATGTCTGCAAATTGCAATATTTAGTCGGAAGAATTTTTTTTTCTGTGGCATAAAGTCCAACCGAACGCTTCGAATCCACTAATGAAAAGATGGATGAATTGAGAGCCGAAAAGACATACGATTTAGTTTCAGAGATTATGCTGTATCTATAAAAACTACTTGCTAAACAAAGTTGACTGAATGTATTCATCCTCCCAGATAAATTTGTTCTCGAGGAACCAATCTTATAAATGTTTTGCTAAATCTTACGGTAGTGGCAAGCTGATATTGCAATCGGATGATAAGTTGAGATACATTATGC